AAGGGCTGAAAGCCTGGAACATACATTTTCTAGACACTCTTATGAGTAGGACCCTTGTGGAATGAGAGGCTCGGGAAAGAGAAGATGGAGAAGCCATTACTTTCCGGTGGCAGGTGCAGGCACACACGTGGGCATCAGCTGTGACAGCTGTGATGTTCTTCCCGCAGCTCTTTAAAGTATCCCTTGATAATAATCCCCTCTTGGTGCATCAGTCAGCGGAGATCAAGTCCTGAACTTCCATATTGCCTCATCTGCAGGCAGTGACCTTCCTGACCTCCCACACCCCCAGTGTTTCCAGTGGCCAGGCGAGCCCCTTCATCTCTGTATGCGATCCCTTCCCAGCTGTACTACTCAAAGTGGTTTTTGTTTTTCTGACCAAACTCCCGCTGATACACTGATGACAAGGGGTAAACAGGATAGAGACACGTAGATCTATAGCAGAAGAAAGGCATTGGTTACCCTACACGCACTGTCAACCCCAGAGAACTCTTGGAAGGGCCTGTGATCATGGGAGATGGTGGAGACTGATAGTCACCTAAGAAAAAATTCTCTCCATGGGGCGCCTGGGTGGCGCAGTCGGTTAAGCGTCTGACTTCAGCCAGGTCATGATCTCGCAGTCCGTTAGTTCGAGCCCCGCGTCAGGCTCTGGGCTGATGGCTCAGAGCCTGGAGCCTGTTTCCGATTCTGTGTCTCCCTCTCTCTCTGCTCCTCCCCCGTTCATGCTCTGTCTCTTTCTGTCCCAAAAAATAAATAAAAAACGTTGAAAAAAAATTTTTAATTAGTAAATAAATGAAAATCGAGGTGAAAGTTTTTTCAAAGAAAAAGTCAGTAGATGCAACTTGTAAAAAGCTCCCAAATCAATAACATAAAAGATTAACATTCTACAGGAAAAAGCTCTAAGGGCTTGAATGGGCATTACAGAATAAAGAAGAAATTAAAAAGCCTGTAAATTCCTAGAGAGGCCCTGAGCCGCAAATTAAAACAATAATGGCTTAACACTTGTCACCTACCAGTTGGGCAAAAAATATTAATATTCACTCTGTTTGCAAGACA